TGTCCTACTATACATCAAAAATTCCTCACACACAAACACAGGAAAAAAATTAAATACCATAGAATTTTTCTTATTCATATTTTATTTTCAACTTTTTTGTTTTTTCATACATGGCAATTTTTGCGTACGGTATATGGAAATATAATTAAAAATGTCATGGAAAATTTTACTATGAATCTGCCATGGCAATTTAATGTTTGTTTGTATGATGGGAATTGCCATGTCTTGTTTCTTCTGTGTCATAGCAAAAAAAATTCTCACCCATCGCAATTTTCTGCCTTTTAAAGTTGACAACATTTATTTTCATATCATAGCAAAAATTGAGCTAGTATTTGTCTAAGCAAAAAAACTAGGATTTTTGTTTTGTTTTGTTGGCGGGCATTTTTTTGTTTTCATTTTTACAGGGGTAAAGTTCTGTAGGGGCGATGTGGTTGGGCGTTTGGGCAGTGGGGTTCTCCCATCGAACAAACTCGTTCAGTGGGGTTGATCCCTCGTACTGAACCATTCGTTCACCTAAACCGAACATTCGGCCGTTATTGGCGTACGAAATAATAGCAATCCCGAGGGATTGCGTGTCGTGAGGCCTGTGTGTCACAAATCCTCTCCCTTCGTCAAGTTTGTTGCGGAGGCCAAAAAAATAGTACCTCCTAAAAAATTAAAAAATTAAAAATAATCAAAAATAATAGTATGGTTGGAAGGATAAAAAATATATTAGAAAAATGCACCTTGCATTATTATTTAATGGAGGTACATATATGGATTTTATTTGTTGGTTATCTGTTCGAATTACTACTAGAAAATACTCTCTTGGTTTCATAATTCTTGTGGTGGTTTTAGTTGAAGACGTAGGGAATAGATTTTATTGATGTTATGGCGTCTGCTGCTTCGTTATCACTGCTACAGAGTGGTCATCCTCTAAGGAAAAACAGTACTACATCGTATGTGCCACATACATTCATTCAACCGAATGAGACGTTTATCATCATGTGGCATATCTGGTAAGCAATCCAAACTTGAAAAATAAAAATACATGTAATACACAACCAATATAAATCTATAGGTTCATGTGCACATCAAACAATATAATTTAGCAATCCTTCCATCCATCTGTAAATGTCCATCTACATACCCACTTTTTGTCCACGATTCATATATTTATGGCAATTTTAAAGATATTTATTGTTGGCCATTTGTTCCCATTTTATTCAATATATTCCAGCGCGCGCTTCTCAGCACTGCTACGGAGTGGCCAGAACTTCTTTGGCCTTGTCCTGGACAAGCTCCCACGCGTCCTGGACGTGCCGCATCTCCGTCATGGCCGCGCCCACGGCCATACGGATTACAAACTTGTTGTCCACCACAAAGTGTGTCATGAAGGCCCGCCCGCTAGCGTTGATGGCCACGAGTAGCTTGCGGTTCAAGGCCTCCATCTCCATGTCGTCCTGGCCTTCTTGCCTTTGCCGGAGGCGGAATGTGACGAGGGAGAATCTCCTCGGCACGACCACCTCGAACCGCTCATCGGCGTCCACCATCCGTTCAAACCACGTGGCCATGTCGACGTGCCTCCGTATGTACGCCCGCATGCCCGCCGCGCCGTAACGGCGCAAGACCACCCACAGCTTCATGGCGCGGAAAGGGCGTGACAATGCAATCTGCCAGTCCTTGTAGTCGACGACCTCTGCTGCACCTTCCCCGCCGACGTTGTTGAGGTACTCTGGGTTGCTAGACAGCGCGGAGGTCAGCAAGGGTGGGCTCACCACCCACAGGCAACAACAGTCCATGTTGGTGAGGAACCATTTGTGCGGATTCATGCTCACGGAGTCCGCGAGCTCGGCGCCGTCGATGTAATCCTTGAACTCGGGGCAGATCAGCGCGCTACCAGCGTAGGCGGCGTCGATGTGTAGCCACATGCCATACTGTCGCGCCACCTCCCCTAGATCATGCACCGGGTCTACCGCGCCAAGCCCTGTCGTGCCGACGGTTGCGCACAGGTATAGCGGCACGAGACCGTCGGCCACATCGGCCTTCACTGCTTCGTGGACACTGTCGGCGGTGAGTCCGTATGCTGACCCAGCCGATGTTGGGATGACACGGAAGTTGGACGGCGGGATTCCTACGATCCTCGCGCCCTTCTGGAAGGTGCAGTGGCTCTGGTCGGACGCATAGACCACCAGCCTCAGGATGGCTTCATGGCCCAGGCTGCTCAGTGCACGATCGCGTGCAGCCGTGAGCGTGCACACCACGGCTTCACAGGTGCTGCCGTGCAGCACGCCGCCGCCACCGCCGGAGAAGCGGAAGCGTTCCGGGAGGCCCACAAGCCTGGCCATCCAGTCCACCACGACGCCCTCGAGCTCTGTCGCAGCCGGTGATGCAGCCCACATGAACGGTACAACATTGAGACCGGTGGAGAGCATCTCGCCCGCGAACCCGGCCGTGCTCGCGTTCATCGGGAAATAGGCGAAGAAGTTTGGGTTTTGCCAGTGTGTCAATCCTGGGACGATGTGCCGCCGTACGTCCTCCAGTATCACGTCCACCGGCTCACTGTCCTCGGGTGGCATGTCGGGTAGAAGCGTACGCAGGCGCCCTGGCTCAGCGTCGGGCCGGACAGGGTAGCTCTCAATGTCGCGGTAGTAGACTTCGAGGAAGTCGACCACCGCGCGGGACTCAGCAGCGAACGTCGAGGCGTCCAGTGGTAACAGCGCGTCAGCTGCTGCGCTCCCCATGGCGTACGCCTTTGCAATGGCAGTGGGTGCGTCGTGTGTGTGTGTGCTATCCACATATGCGGCTGCTATAAGTGGTAGATTGGCAATCCCTTATATAGGAGTACGTTATGTTTTGTTCCCACGTGAACAACGTGCTCCTTGGTATTGACTGAAAATGCAGCCATCCTGCAACCAGAAAATTAAAAGCTGCTATGTATTGATTTTATTTATGTCCGGGCATTAATAGTTATGTTTTATTGGTTGGATGGTACTTTGGACAGCAATTTATAGCAATTATTTGATCAACAATATTGGCAGTAGTAGGTGGAATGCTCGGGAGCTCCTCACTACGGATTCAAATTTGGAACTTTGAGGGTACCCTCTGACCCTCTTTAGTTCAATCAAATGAATCAACTTTTCAAGATTGGTGTGAATTATTAAATGTTATTACATTTAATTAAACTAAGAAGGGTTGGAGGGTATCCTAAAGATCCCAAATTTGCATACCTATCTCTCACTGATATTTAGACCTCCATATAACCTCTTGGTCCACGCCGGTTTTTGGGTTTTGTACTATGTTACGTTTATATTCTTGGGTCTCCTATGTATTATCTGTCATTTTTCTCATAAAAGCAAGGCGGGCCAACTACAGATGTATGATCTGTACCCGCAACCCCAAACTTCCAACTCCCAACAACAACGGCATTGACTCCAGGAATAAAAGAGAAATACAATACCTGCGTTTAGTTTTCAACACACACCATGCCACCCATGTTGTTCTTCCTTTGCATTTGCTTCATCTTTTTACAAACTTATCTAGGTCCTCCCCGTCGCCACCTCGGGCCGAAGCCAACCCTCATGTAGCTCTCCTCCAGCATCATGCGCGTGCATGAGCCCCAGCATGACGCACAACATCCAAGTGGTGTCAAGGTGCAGCACTGAGGCCCCAGGTCAAGGCTAGACAATACCCTCCATGCATGCGCCCCAACTCGTCCTGGCCACTGAGGTGGCTCACCGCGACCTGGAAGTGGGAGTGTAGCACACTCACATGCACGCGTAGGTCGCGCGCGCTCAATGGCACCATGGTGTCCGCCATGGTCAGGAGTAGCAGCCTATGTGGGAGACCAGAGCGGCAATGAGAGGAGGACCGACCGGGCCGTTATCGCCGCCGAGCTCCAGAGGAGGAGCTAAAAGGACTTTGTTGTGTCGTTGCCTTGGTCATTGACTCCGGCAGACAGCATGTATGGTGGGCCACAAATCGGCATTTCTCTGTCATGTCAATGCCTGAAAGTGGGTCATACATGTCAGTTTCAGCATCCAAACCAATCCAAACGTGCAAAGTGACCGATCAGTGTGATTTGCAAAAAGATTTTGTTTGTGCGGTGCAATCTAAAAAAGGAAAATTCTCTTTTTTTACAAATGAAGCCACAAATGTAGTGGTTCCATGCAATTAACTGAATGGTTGCATGAAAACTTCATCAAACAAGAACAATTTTGCTTGTGCTACCATTCAATTTTGCTTGGCAGAGAGCAGTTGGTACGAATGAAACAGCATAATTACATGAGCTGTGCGCCAAAAATTGCCCCCCGAGTTAGAGATTTGAAACAAATTATAATTATTAGCAGGCAAGAACAAAACACTTAGAACGACAACGGAAACTGGGTCTGTTAAACTGTGACTGCTAACTGAAGCAGGTGATGCACGACCAACTAAAAAAAAGATGCACGACTTACTGCCACACAATGGATAAACACGTAGCAAATCGAATAATACAACCAAATTTCTGCAGGTGATGCACAACCAACTCAAAAAAAAACTTAGATGCTGCAAACTGTGACTGCTAACTGAAGCAGTTAATTATTAGCACATTACATACATCATTTTTGTTTTTTTTTTGAATGGTCACTGGGGGGAGAATATCCTCACTGAATATATTTCTCAAAAGGCTGCCAAAGCCTAGAGTCACCCCTTAAGCTTTGACTCGTCCAGTTTATAAGGGAAACCGCATCGAAAACCTAAACAAGTTGACTCTGTTTATGAGGAAGACCGGGCCAAAAACCGTACAGGTAACAAGGTTACAAAAGAAGAGAAAAAAGAATTGACGCCTTGGAGAAGGCATGAACTAGCTAGCAGGTAGAAAGACCAACACCACGAGAGACACAAGTAGATGTGGGATGTTGTCGAGGGATCACAATACCAAGACTCTACAAACAACCTAACGCAACACATCGCGTGCGTACCGAGCCCCACGGCACTACAGAGAATCATCCACAATCAACGAGTGCCAAACCTTAACACGGACTTTGACTGGGAGATCCGCCACGGGCGGTCGAGAGGGTTAGCAGGTTGGGGAGGCATCATTGCGTTGAGCAAAGGTGAACCGAAACAATACCAAGAGCCCGAAGCTCGCCGCAGCACAACGGTAACCATGGGAGGATCTTGAGCATGCGGAGCAACAGGACGAAGACCATGCAAAGACAGCCGATAAGAAAGCACATGAAGAAGAACGCACCAACATGGATGACACACTAAATGATGGGCAGCGGCAGTTGCATGGTGGCGAAGGGCTCGATGAGGAGGCAATGTTGGCGATGGTATGGAGAGGACAGGCTGAGATGAGTGGATTGAAGCTAAATGGAGAGGTCACACAGAGTGCAGAAAAGTTCACCATATGGACATGAAGGGACGCAAACCACGCAATCGACATGGAGGAGTGGCGTGAGAGCGCTGCCGTAGCCATGGCCAGATGAACCGGCAGAGATTTCTCCCCATCCCCAAGTCTAGCATGAAGGAGGAGGCAAAACAGCGCCACCATGGTGGGACGCGGTGCCCGCAGGCATCGCTGCTGCTAGCCGGCGGCCACTGGTGCGGATTTCTCTAGGCCTCCACACACCCTCCAACACCTCAAGACCCAAACCCAGACTACCTGGACTAGAGAAATCCGGCAGCCCGGGGAAAGGGGCACCTCAAACGAGCAGATCTGTGACGAACATTGGCAGATTGGAGGGCAGCGTACGCTCACGCACCCACCACCATGCAGCACCCGAGGATGACCGAGACACGGCCTAAGGCTAGCCCAGCCCGCACGAGCAGTGTGGGGCGGCAGCCACCGACGGAGGGTCAGCACGCGCCGGCCGGCGGGCAACTGGCGGCTCTTGGCAGGAAGATGCAGGAGGCGGCAGCTTTGCATCTGGGGAGGAGGCAGCGGGCACGGGTGAGGAGCAGAGCGTGGCCTCATCGTGCGAAGCACAGGTGGAAGCCTTGGCGACAGGTCGTAGCAGGGCATGCGGTGGCAGCCACAGTAGCACGGGATCCCACCCCAGCGCCGGTAAAGAGCTCCGATGAGCGACTGCAACTAACGGAGCAGCAGCACGCGAGTAGGAGGAGCGCGATGCGGAGTGTTTTGGATCTGGAGGGAGACTGGCTGTTGCTCTTTCCAGCTTTGTGCCTAGAGTGCCGCAAGTGACCGGATCGACGGCACCAACCTTGTTCCAGGTGAAAGGTTGGCAATGCTGGCTGGTAGATTTCGTTTCAAATACATCTTCAAACCAAGTTTACCCTGCAAACTAGAGAAAACTAGTCGTCAGCTGCACGGGCTAGTTTTCGTGCAAACGTTGCAGGTCCATGTGAAATGTGGCTTCAATTTTTTGGAATAAAAATATATTAAAATTAAGTATAGGGTTATACATGTGAAAAATTACTCTCAAAACATGTATATTTTATAGTAGCAGGGAAAATCTCCATGGTCAACCTGTATAATATGATCCTATGGTTTCACAAATAATTGTTGCTTTATGTTCTCTCATTGACATTACGTAGGGCTAACATTTTATAGGTACAGTGACTCCTTTTCTGAAAATCAACAGAAAAGGTTTAACACGGAACAACCTGGCTATGTAATAAATGTGATGACGAAAAAATAAACGGGGTAAAAAGAACTCAAGAAAACTGGTTGTGGTTGGAGAGGTCCTTGTACTTCATAGGTGTAATGCCTACCATTCAAATTAGAAGGCAATCTTAGAGAGTTACCAAATAAACATTTCTCATCAACCATCCAAAAATGTTTCTCATAACTTGCCACAGGGCCATTTGTGTGCTTTTATCTCTACCCGGATTACATGTGAATATTTCTACAACTTTATGGTAAAAATAGATATCTGTATATTGATGTTTTGCTCTTCAGTTCAGACTCACACAGTGTCTATAAAAACATGGAAATTTGACCAACCGAAGACGCATTGAACTCTGAATACAACGATGCAATATAATAGATAATGGTAACATTTTGAGCATCTACAATAGTACATTAGGAATTGGCGCAATTAGAAACATGCACCTGCTCAGGCTGGCAATTAAGTAACCTAGGAAATCATTATATATTGTACAAAGATAATGTTTGTAATGTGATAACATAGTAGCCACGATTTTCCATTAGGAGATTGTTGCATAGTGATGTAATATTTCTCCTGGTTAGTAGTGTGCACCTGTATTATTATAATAATATCTGGGTATGCATCCGATGCAGATTTCTACATATAACCAATGTATATATGAGATACAATTTATAGATGAGTTAGATAATTGTTTTTTTTTCTTCCTTAAAGTGGGAAATTTTGTAAATTTCATATATGACAGTTGTTGTACTTTCAATACTTATTCACGTGTTGTATATGGGAACAAAAGAGCATTTGTTATTAGTAGTAATATTATAATTCCACGATCAACCCAAATTGCTTAGTGCCATTCTCTAATTTCCTTGGCGAACATAATGTGTTTTCTAAGCAAGGTGGCAGGGGCAATAAAATTGTGAATAAGTAGCAGTTATCTACTTGTTTATTGGTCTAAGGGAGAAGTTTCTTTTTTGCATACGAAACTACAATTGTACTTTTGAAATAAATAGTGCACAATTTAGTCAATTTGTTTATGAAACTACAATTGTTAGCTCCTATCCAGCAATAGCTGGTCATAAGAAGATTTTACTGACCCTTGGTTCAGATTGAGAATCTAGAAATAATATAAG